CCTCCTCCTCCCCTCCTGGAAAGAGAGGGGGAACACCAAACCTCACTACTCCAGAGGCCTCCCAAGTGAGCGACGACCAAAAACGGGTCCTACGCAGGATGACGTAGCGGCATCACGCGGAGGCTTATTCGGGCGGTCTGCGCGGCACGCCACATTTGAAGCGAAGGTGCTTACACGAGACCTTACGCGGGCAGCTGACGCGCCAATGTCGGCGAAGACGACCCCGTGTCTTTGCGTCGCTCATGTGGAGTCCCAGTGGATGGGGTCGAAGGATCGCGCCGAATCGGCGATGCACACGTAGACGACGTCGGCGATGCATCAGCGATGTCGACGTGGAAAAAAGCAAAACTCCACATCGAACCGCATCGCCGATGTAGCGGCGATTCCGCGATGCATCGGCGACGTCGACGTGGAGAGCACAAAGCTCCAGATCGAATCGCGTCGCCGATGCACCGGGCGATCGGAACCCCTTTCGGCAGCGACGAGGGGGGCGACTAGCCCCGGGGGAGAGCACTACATGTACTCAAGGGCGCCGATGCTCCGTGCGTTCGGCGCGCCTCCACGGGCGAACACGTGTACTGCCCGCCCCTGGGCTACAGTCAAGAACCCTGATAAGGACGCGCGGTAAAGACGCAAGACCCTTGGGAGCCGCAGTTGGGATTTTTGGGGCGGCGGGCGACGAAAACCCTAAGGACGCAAGAGCAAGGAAGAGCAAAGACGCCAGGGTACCCTGAGCAAAGTCGCGCGTCCTTCTTAGGGTTTCTGACTGTATCCTCGCCTCCGACCCTTTGGGAGGCCCAGCCCCCTGCGCTGTGTCTTCGGCTGCGCCCGGCCCACCACCGGTGCGCCGGGGCCCTCGGGCGCCGCCCTCCGCGAGCAGGCCCGCCGCCTCTGGCCGCAGGAGGAGGATCGAGGAGGAGGAGGTGGAGGAGGAGGATCGAGGAGGAGGAGGTCCGCTCCTCCCCCCGCTTCCCCCCCCCCCCGCTTCCCCTCCACGGCTCCCCCCCCCCTTCCCCTCCAGGGCTCCCCCTTCTCCCCCCCCCCTCTCTTCCCCTCCAGGGATCCCCCTCTTCCCCCCTCGATCTTCGCCCCTCTTCGCCCCCCTCCTCCCCCCTCTTCCCCTCCAGGACTCCCCCTCCCCCAGGCCCGCTCGCGTCGTGAACAAAATAACGGCGGAAGGCATTTCGCGATGTATCTTCTGCATCTGGGGGCCTTAACCGGGCCACGGGACCGTGAGAGCAGCCCGGGACGAAAGGCTGGCCCCGGGGAAGGGGACCAGACTTCCGGGGATCCACGTTGCGAACACATGCGACGTTGGGGTCTGGGCCTGCCCCCCCTGCCCCCTTCTTCGCGTTCTGCTCCCCTCCTGCTCCCACCCCCCCCTCTTCCCTCTTTCCCTCCAGGCTTCCCCATCCTGCCTCCCCCCCCCCCCTTCTTCCTGTTCTGCTGCCCCCCCCTGCCCCCCCTGCCACCCCCCTCCCCCTCCTCCTCCCTCTTCCCCTCCTGGCCGCGGCCCCCCCTCCTGCTTCCCACCCCCTCCCTCTCGTTCTGCCCCCCGAATCCCCCCCGAAATCCCCCCCCCCCCCGAGGCTCGGGGCCGCCCCGCACGTGCCGCCGGGCGGCCCCCCTCCCCGAGGCGCCCCGCCGTCCCCCCCGGGGGCCGGGCCTCCCCTCGCGGGCGCGGGGAGGGCGCCCCCGCCAGGGCCCGTGCAGGGGGGCCGCTCGGGCGGCGCGGGGCGCGAGGCCCGCGGGCCACCTCTCCTGCCCGCCCCGGGGGCCCCCCTCTGGGGGGGGGGGGGCCGTGTGCGCTCGTGGACGCCTCCCCCGCTCCGCGGGCGCCCTCGCTCTCCGACGCGGGTGCGGCGCGAGCGCGCCGAGGCGCCCGTGCGCAGGCCTCCACCGGCGGGCCCTCGTCCCGGGGTGAGGCGTCCGGCGTGGAGGCAGCGTGCTCGAGGGCGCTGGAGGCTTGCAGAGATGCCGCCCCCTCCTTGCTCAGGGTGAGGCCTGCTTTCGCCTTCGGCTTCGGCAGCTCGCATGCCTTCGTGTCGTTCGACCGTGGGCTGCGTGCTCGTCGAGTCGCTCGCGCCCCTCCTGTCAGCCCGCTCTTGCCCTTCCTTCCCCCGTTCTCGGCGCGCTCGGAAGCACAGGTGTGCCCCCCCGTGCCCCCCCCCCAGACTTAAAAAGAACAACGACCTTTCGAAAGTCCGCGCAGATTCCTTGGAGCGGCGCTGGACTACCGTTGCCTCAGTTCGCCGTCCTCTCGTACGGGGAAGAGGGTTTCAGGGAGCGGGGTGGGGAGGGAGGGGTGTCGGGAGGGGGGCCGAGGGGGGGGGGGGAAGAGTGTGGTGGTGGGGGTTGGGGGGGGGGGGCGGCCGCCTCCAGGTGCAGGGCGACGCAGAGGTACCCGCTGGCCTTGACGCGCAGGGCGTCCGACGCCGGCGCCCCGTCGAGGGCGGCCCGCAGGCGCGCCGCGAGGGGGGCGCCGCCGTCCGGCCCCGAC